TGATGAAGCCCCTCCCTTGTAAGCATGTTCTAGTGTAGATTTTACTTTTGGGATTTCAATGTATTATTGTTGGTGATTTTATGATCTAGAGCATCATATGTGTTGTAATGAATTCTAATGTCTATACATGATTATTTTGAGCTATTCATCTTGTCTTAGATGGTTTCTCTTCCTAATCATATTGCTTGCATTTCCATAGTGACAATGGAAGTTAGATCATGGAATGGTTTTAATGGCATGGAGTTTGAGAACTTTGATAAATCATTGCTTAGGATGCCCTTTGATGGTTTATACTTGATTCTTAACTTTGTGTGCTCTCATCATTTAATTAAGGGCTTGATAATCTTTGGCTTAGGGAGCATGTTGAAGACTACACCCTAGTTTAGGTAGTTCAAGCATGTGAATCTTTGATGGATTATTCTTGTTTTTGATTTAATGAACCTCTTGAGGATAGTATAGCAACCAAGGGTTGTTATGTGTCATGACCATCATTTATGTTGATTTTCCTAATTTAATCTCAATCTAGAATGTGTATAGGGTTGGAGCGGATTCATTTCCCTAGTTTTTCTCTACTTGTATTTCATCTCTTTTTAATTCTTGCAAGTTTCTAATTTATGCAATTTCAAAATTCTTAGCTTAAGTGACAAACAACAAAACCTTTATAAACCCTTCATCATTCTAGAAAGATTCTAGACACTAAGGTTGCCATAAGACTAGCGCAGTCCCAGTGGTTCGACTTACCCGACCAATAGCCCTATTTTACAATGATTCGTGCTATTGCGAAGGTTGATGTATAGTTGATCAACCGATCAGTTGACTAGAATGTAAACGTGTATCGGGTCCCTGTTTGGACTGTAGTAGAGTAGAACTTGTTCGTGGGCCTAACCCACTATTATTTTTCAGGTGTTCGACAGTTCCAGTCTCAGAGCTTGTTCGTGTCAGCAGAGACAGTCACTCACTCTTCCGACTACGTAGGACTCTTCTTTATGTTTTAGTTTTGGATTTTCTTTCAGTTCAGTTATTTATTTCTAGTTGGGATTTTATTAGGGGTCCACTAGATGAATTCCCGAGTTGTAATTTTATTGGAGGATTATTTAATTAGTATTTCAAGGATTTATTATTTAGTTTTCTTTCACCTTAATTATTTATGTATTTATATTTCTTTTTTGTAATCCATGCTTGTTTATATACTTAATTGTTTGGTATCCCTTGGATCTGTGCTCGGATTTGATCACCCATGGCTCTAAAATTGAGGGGTATCACCGCATTCACAAGAGCTCTATCTAGCTTAATATTAATCCTTCTATTACTGTCTTGTTTATTGCTCCAAGATCATCCCCCATTGTTGATAGGTAATTCTTCCATTTGAATATCTTTAAGTACTTGATTAAACTCATCAAGAAGATGTTGAGGCACCCTTAGACCTCCAATTTTATCACTATAAAACTAAGAAATGTTCTAGTCTCCTAAAGCAATCCAAGGGCTATCTACCATCGTAGCTTGATCTTTAAGATTCAACCATAACTTTCTTCTTTCTTGCACAGCAGTTGTAGCATATATCACAGACATAAACACATTCTCTCCAAAATCAATATGCCTAACCTTTAAAAACAACACTTGAGTGTCTTCCTTCATGAGTTGTACATCAAAGACCAAAGGATCCCAAGCAACCCAAATCTTTACTAACACATTAGAATCATAATTATCTAGCCACACCCATCTAGAATTAATTCTTTTCTGAATTTTCCTAGCTTTCCCTTGTCTAACTCTAGTCTCCATCAGAGCCACTAGAGAAAGTTTATTCCCCCTCTATCCAGGCCTTTACAGCAGCTTGCATATTAGGTCTATTGAGACCTCTAACATTCCAGACACCAAGCATTAAGAAATAGGTTTAAATGGTAAAGCACCACCAACCTGTTTACCTCTAGTAATCCTATTAGAAAGTGGAGTTTGATACCTCTTCTTAGGTTTCAATTTCTATGCTTCAGTTTGCTCTTGTGACGTAGCAACAATTTTTGTACCAGAGGCTAAAAGACCCCCCTTATCATTACCCTCATTATCTAACCTAACTCCATCCAGTCTCTAAATAACCAAATCCTCTCCTACAGGCCTGGGAGCATTCACAATTCCTACCCTTGCATTCGTCCCAATAATACCACAATTCCTACCAATGACTTTAGCCCTAAAACCATCATTGCCAACCTTAGTTCCAGCAGAATCAGTAATCACATTACTTGTCACATTAGCACTCCTACAAATATCTAATTCCTGAGTTTTTGTCACTGCAAAAATAGGAATAACAAATTCCAACCTATTTGATGCAGTATCATCACCAGAATGTTCTATCTATGAATATTCTCAGTCTCTTCCGTTTCCTTAACCTCATTCTGTTTAAACTGTAAGGCAACTTCCTCATCCTCATCTTAAATGTCTGTAGTCTGCAATACTTGAAAAGCATTCGAAGTCACAATATCTTCAACAAACACGTTCTCAATACCCAATTGAGAACATTCAATAAGCACCTTATCTACATCTTAAGACACCAGATTTCCCTTATGTTTCACAATCCATTTTTCCAAAGTCTTTTTAGGCTTGGTTTGTATGATCTTTTGAGGGCATCTGTCATTCACATGATCAACTCTTTGGCAAAGAGAACATAACAAAGGCTTCCACTTATATCCCAGCGTAATCTCACAGTCAATACCATGAATATCCACCACCATTAAGTCAGGTAACTCTTCCTTAACATCCACCTCCACCATTACTCACAGATATCTTCCTTTATCTTGATTAACTTCTGAATCATTCATGTATATTGGCTTGGCAAAGGAGGAGCATATCATAAACACCAAATGTACCTTCCTACAATAAACAGGAAGATCGTAAATACGCATCCAAATCAGGACCGATTGCAAGACCTCTTTCTCTAAGTTAACATTTTTACTCCAATGCTTAAGGATTATAGGTCTTCCTTCGAATGTATGGATTTTGGACAATACCTTATTAACATCAGTCTCATCATGAAAACGAGCTAAGAAGAATCCATCCTTCAAATACATCAACCTAAAATTCTTGGACCACCTCTTCTCCGCATATGATTTAAAATGATGGTAGTAAGGTTTCTTGCCTATCACAAAACCTACTACAGAAGAGAACCAAATTTGGATCTCATCAGCCACATCATTTTCTGTAATCGAGGCTTTCTTTCCACGGACATGGCTATAGAAGTTAAGATTCTGAAACTCAGATGTTGTTTCCTTGAAGAAACGACACCAAGAAGTGGTCGGAGAAGATTACCGGCTTGCAGATCCCATACACGCAGTCACATATCACAATTCTTCAAAATTATGCACATGATATGAAGTATGATGCATCCTATCCCAAACTTGGTCTATACCGACCCAACATTCACTTTTCGAAAACCCGCTAACTGATTTTACCGAAGCAAGATTGATAGCTATCATCGGTTCCAATTCTGGCAAAGCCTGGCAACCGTTAAACGGCCTAGTATCAACTTTTTCATGCCCTACACCGGGCCGTGCTCCTTTTAGGTCAAGCTATCTCTGGACTCATGAAATCCAGTTCATTTCTAAATCATTTCCTCACAATCCTTTCCAAACACATTTCTTTTTTAAAAAAATCATTTCAACCTCACATTTTCCACACCATGCCCATGCCATGAATGGAATCATGCATGAATGAAATTGACATACACATGCTTGCATATACTCATCATCGTTATCATGTATATACATATAGCCTCAAGAAAACATTTCAACATAAGGCATGCTCTTTAAACACCTTTGCAACCAAGCAAATATATATATATATATACACACACATGCACAATCAACATCATCTAGGGCATGCTTTGCCACATAAACACATAATTAATATTTTAAATTTTAAATTTATCATTTTAATCATGGTTAACAAGAAATCAAGTACACGAACTAAACTAAAGTCAAAACTTAATGGTTTAGACATCTCTACCTCAAAAGTAGCAAAAATGTATCCCTGGTCAGAAAAGTCAACGTCGGTCAACACAGTTAATGTCGGTCAATGGAAGTCAATGCCAGTCAACGGCGGCGGAACAGAAAACTGTTCGGTGGGAACGTAACCGACGACGAGGAGATTCTACTATTCCAAAGTTGTGTCTCTGGAATCCGACTCCAAGTAGTCCAAAACCCTTCTGAAACTTTAGAACTAAAAATTTCAAAAATTCATAAAATAATCACCGCTCATCCAAAAATTAAATCCTTTGACGATATGATAGAGAACGATGAGAGGAACATTTTCCGTCAAGGAATAAAGACCGAAAACCCGATCAATTGGCCAAAAAATGGAGGAGAATTATGAAGCTTAAAAGAAAGAAAAAGAAAAAAGAATAACAAAGGCAAGAGAGAGAGAGAATGACGCTCTGAGAGAGATAAGTGATCAGCAAATTGGCTTCATAGCCATTAAAATAGATAACACTGGTGGGTCCCACATCTTATATTAAAATCTCACTTCTAACATTAAACATATACATTTTTTATTGGTAAAAACTCATCTACTACAATTTTAAATGTATCCAAATCACATTATTATCAATCTAACATTTACATATTTCTAAATATTTTTAATCTACGAGGTTCTCACTAAACAAAATTTCTAAGTCGGTCACTCCTCATAATAAGAGTCATGAACTCTTCATCTTTAATTTACTGAATTAAAAGATGTATAAATTGATTTATTCGACTTTTTATACATCTCAAAACTATCTAAATCCAGTTCAATTTACAAAACTCATGATTCTTGCACCAAGAAATTCTCTCTTGATGGCATTACTTCCAATTCCACCTTGCTTGTTTTCTACAAGCCTTCTGGAGGTACACTGTGCAGTCAAACCATATTGATTTGAAAATTCTTCCTTACCAAAAAAAATAATATATCACTGCATTGATTTTTCAATGAAAATGATAGAGATTAATTATATTCAACAAATGTTACAACTTCTTAGACTCAATATATATATGAAGAAGTTGTTCAAGTTTGATTGTACCTTGCATTGTTTCTACCATATATTATCCAGACACAATAGCTCTGTTCAGTTGATGCAAGTCTTTAGTTTTGCCTTCTTCTAGAGGGATATATATTTCTTTACACCATGGCCTTTTCTGTACCGTTCCTTATCTTTTGTATCCTACTTTTGTTGTCACATCTCACCATTGCTCAAACTAACAAAAACATAAGTTTGGGCTCATCACTCACTGCCACTGACGATAACTCTTTGTGGCCATCCCCTTCCGGTGACTTTGCCTTCGGCTTCCAACGAATTGGAACCGGAGGTTTCTTACTAGCTATCTGGTTCAACAAAGTGCCTGAGAAAACCATAATTTGGTCAGCCAATCGCAACAATTTAGCTCAAGAAGGATCCAAAATTCAACTTACAACGGATGGCAGGTTCGTTCTCAGTGACCCTAAAGGCCAAGAGTCATGGTCTGCTAATTTAGGCAAGACCAGAGCTTCCTATGGAGCAATTCTTGACAATGGGAACTTTGTGCTGTCAAGCAGCGACTCTGTCACTGTGTGGCAGAGTTTTGATGAGCCAACAGACACAATACTACCGACACAGAGATTGAATCTAGGCGGCAGACTCATTGCTAGCTTCTCCAAAACAGACTACTCAAATGGGAGATTCGGATTCATGCTACAAACCGATGGAGATCTCATGCTTTACACCACCAATTTCCCTCTGGATTCAAAAAATTCTGCATATTGGTCAACCAGAACTAGAGGCAGTGGCTTTCAGGTGGTCTTCAGCCAATCTGGCTACATCTACCTCACATCAAGGGATGGAAAAATACTTCAATTCGTATCTTCAATCGCATCTTCAACCGATCAATTTTATCAGCGCGCAGTTCTTGAATTCGATGGAGTTTTCAGGCATTATGTCTACCCAAAGTCTGCAGGCTCAAATGGTGAGAGGCCTATGGAATGGTCCATTTTGTCCTTCATACCTTCAGATATATGCACAAGTATTGTGCAAGATACAGGTAGTGGGGCTTGTGGATTCAACAGTTATTGCATACTAGGAATTAATGATCAGAGGCCAAAATGTGAGTGCCCATCTGGTTACAATTTCATTGATACTGATGATCCTTTGAGTTCATGCCAGCCAAACTTTGCTCCACAAAGTTGCGATAAAGGATCCCAGGAAACAAATCTTTTTGGCTTCATGGACATGCCCAACACGGACTGGCCACTGTCTGATTATGAGTACTACAAACCGGTGACTGAAGATTTTTGCAGAAATGCTTGCTTGGGTGACTGTTTTTGTGCTGTTGCCATTTTTAGAGATGGTAATTGTTGGAAGAAGAAGAACCCTCTCTCAAATGGGAGGATTGATCCCAGTGTTGGTGGTAAAGCTTTGATAAAAGTTAGAAAAGACAATTCCACCACATAAATCTGCAGGAGCAAGGATGAAAGATCAGTCCAATATGATCATCTCTCAGTTGGTGCTTAAGGTATTATGTACTTTATTTATAGAAAGGCATAATAATAGTCTAAATTTCCCAATGTATGTCTCAGCAACTATGTTTTGTGTGTGTTTAATAATGTCTTATGTTTTGTGTGTGTTTAATAATATGTTTCTGAGCTAGTTTCGTATTCGGGTCTCCTTTCCCTAGTCTTTTTGTCAGGAAAAAAATATCTCAAAATGAACTATTATTCATAGCTATTGTTGTTCTTCTGTGTTTCTTTTAGATAAAATGAAAACCACACAATCCAAGACCATTTGATGCCCAATAACTGGACTCACATGGGTACACACATCATGTTTTGTTTGTTTGTGCTAATATCAAAAGGAGAGCGTGTGTTACAAATATCAGAGAAAATCAGAAAGGAGATTCTTTTCAAAGTAAAACAAAAACAAGCCTCCGGCAAAGTATGCTGATGAGGTGACATCATATATAACGGAAAAATGCAAGAAACTTTCTTAAATTACAATAAATTCTCTTGAATTATAATTTTATTACAATTTATCCAGTAGGTCACCTAAAAAGACGAAGGATTATTTTACCCTTTCCTTCGGAGGTATGTAATTTGAAGATCAAGCGCAAAAAAACATCCTTATAATATGTTTACAGTGCATATTGCACCCTTGTAAAAAATACCCTTAAACTATAACATTTATTTAAATAAATTTTATTTATAAAAATTGAACTAAAATACCTTAACAACAAATTTTATAATATATATATATAAAAAAAATATATATATGTGAAATGACTAAAAAGGGCTTGGCCCTTCTCCCTCGTCTTCTCCCTCCTTCACTCTCTCTCTACCTTTCTCCTTCGCCCACCGCCGCGCCGACCTCTGCCGCACCATCCTCACAACCTTCCCTTACCTCACCTTCTTCCTCTACCACTTCAACACCAACCTAGTCCGCAGCCCTAGAAAGTGAAATCAACCAATCTAATCGGTACTTCGTCAAATGATCAGCTAGATCGGATCCGCGTCTTCATTGGCACTGGGCGATTTGCTTGACTTGTCTTTCAGATAAAAATCAATGAAAAGTTCACCACTTTGCTTTCTTGGAAGTCGTTGTATCAGAGTGTGAACCAGTGGTGCCCGGGAAAAGAAACTGGAATTCATCGATTATAAATTAGACCAAATTCGTCCCATACGTTCGCCCAAATCAGAGCTCGCCGTCCAGTAGATGGTACTCCTCGCGATCTCTCTCATATATATATATATATATATACACACACACAAACACATACCCATTTATATATATATACCCAATATATGTGAAATATTGGGTATATGCAACAATTCTGTGTGCAAATACGTGTGTGTATATCTGTGTATAATCATATATGTATATATATGACAGAGGGTTGGTGGTGGTAAGCGGCGGCAGCCGAACCAGTCCTCTCCACAGCCCATCGCCGGAATCGCTGTCCGTCACCGCCTTGCTCGCCGTTCAGACCCCTCTGAGCCGCCGTCGGTCAGCCGAGCTCATCGCGGCCGTCGTCTTCATCCTCGCCGGTGTGGTTGTTTGGGTTTTGGTGATGGTGAGGCAAGACAGACTATGGTGACGTGGGGTTTGCGAATGGGTCTTTTACTAGTGATCGATGTGCTTCCCTAACCTGGTTATGCGAGAGCTCTCCAATTAGAATCTCGCTAAAGACCATTCTCTGCAAAAATGGGATAAATATTAGGCTCCCTTCAAAATCAAAAGGAAAAAAAAAAATTTGATAAGGGTATTTTTGGAAAAATGAAAAGATAAAATGAATCTTATATTAATTCAGAGATATTTTTGTACAAAGTAAAAAGAATAAAGATATTTTTACACACGTTTTTAAATAAAAACGTAAAAATGTAATAAAAGGTATACTTCAAAATTGTTTATTGTACTTACCCATAGTTTTAATCTTTAACTGAGCAAAGACCAAATATTTCTGCAACATTTTATTTTATTTTTTTTGCGTAAAATCTCTTGCAACATCTTCTTTCTCAACTCTCCAATCATTGATTTGATTAATCAATGAAGCTTGGATCCCTGATCTTAGTCCAAATAAACGATCGGTATATATAATTTCTTGAAATTTTGTTGTACAACAATGTCAAAGAGGCATCATTCGTTGTCATCATCATCCCCACCATCAGAGAAACGACACTTAAAAAAAAAAAAAATCTTCCTCAGCCGATTGTCTCTTTAGCCTCACTGGAATCGCGCAACCACGATCCCGCTGGAATCGATTATGTCGGAGAGTTGCACAAGAGCATATATATGTGTGTGTGTATATATATATATTTAGAGAAAGAGAGACAGAGGGAGAGAAGAAAGAGAGGAGTTTAGAGGTTTGAAGAATTAAGGGAATGAGTTTTGGAAATATATTTCCGGCAACAGGTAGGGGTTTCTTCAATATGTATTCATGTGTAGCTGGTTTAATTTTGCTAAAGAAAGCAAATTTTGAAAATAAAAATAATATTCCCATCCTTCCCTTTTCTTTCTCTAGTCTGTTTTAATTTTGAACATCTTTGCTCTCTTGTTGATGATATGAGGCGAAGCGGTCCGAAGTGCAGCTTCCAAATGCATCACTTGTTTAGATTTCAATTTTCAATTTTTTCTTCCTGTTCCCCAATTTCTATTTGGGGGTGGGGGTGCAAAACAATTTTGAGCTTTGTAAATTTTACAGTTGAGGATTTAATTTAATTTTTTTTTTTTTTTTTTGCTTTTTTAATAATATTAGCTAGAAATGAATTTTTAGTTTTGGTTTTCTTAGCTTAATAGCAGCAATAAATTACTGGCTGCAGCTGCATTCAAATATATGGTTGAGTGAATGATTTCATTTTTAATTACAGTTTCTTTATATATATATATATATATATATATATATATATATATATATATTGTTTCAGCGAGATTTTTTTTATATTTTTTTTTCCCTTGCAACACCAATCCACAAGAAAGCAAAAGACTACTCGTAGAAACTACAACATCCAATTCCAAAAGCTTAAAGATAGACAATGGTAGAAAGTGAAGCACCGAATCCGTAGTCAACCCCTGCTGTGAAATTGGCAAAAGCATTCGCCACTTGGTTTCCATGTCGTCGAACATGCAAAATGGAAAACCTCGATAGAGATTGCAGTTCCTGTCTTATCTCAGTAACCAAAGTAACAAGTGAGGCATCCGTAGGAATAATACCATCAATAGCCTCCACCACGCCTTTACAATCCGATTCAAACCAGACCACCTGAAAGTGAAATTGCTTGGTCCAAAAAACTACACGGCTAAAACAAAACAATTCTGAATGAAACACAGATGATGACTGAAAAGGCTTAAAAATCACCGCTTGAAGAACCGCACCGAAGGAGTCTCTGCACACCGCACCACCACCACCTCGTTGAGCAGTTTTGAAAAAGATGTGTCAACATTACATTTAACAACACCATGCTTTGGACGAATCTAGCGAGAGGGGCATTTGATCTTTGCGAAGGATGAAGGATCATTTGACATTTTCGTTGCACAGAAACAAATTCCCAATAACGAGTGGAAGCCCAATTTGCAACTAAAACTGGACTCCATTCAAGTTGATCAAAAATTAATTTATTCCTAGCCTTCCAGATTGTCCACAAACAAAAAGACGCCATCCCCACCGTAAAAGATTTATCCTCCTTAGACAAAGCTGATCCACCCTGAATATCATTCCACCAGTCAAGAAAAGCAGAAATGGGATGGGCTAGAAAATCCCAACGGAGGGGGGATAACTTCCACACCTGAAGCGAAAAAGAACAACGAAAGAAAATATGATGAACACCCCTCACATCCAACCCACATCATGGATAAATCGGATTTGCCAAACAACCACAACGAGCAAAAGCAAAGCCTGTGGGGAGAATCTCCTAGCAACATTTCCAAAGAAAATGTTTAATTTTATAAGGCAATTAAAGGGACCACAAGTCACTCCACCATCCACAAGAGATCAGCTGATTGTCTGCCGTGTGTAAGGCATGAGGATTGGAATTTGGAGAGAGCGTCACAGCTAATCGGTAGGCTGATTTCACACTAAACTTACCTAAAGGCTCCACCTCCCATTTTTGGGTATCCGGATAAGATATATAGAAAGATATATGTATATATATAAAGAGAGAGTGACCTGCAGATGTTTTTTGGGAAAATAGCTATGAACAAAATGATGAGGGAGAGACGAAACAGAGATTGGGAGGTTAGGGTGTAATAGTTGGAAGAAGGGTATTAAAGACTTTTCATGTTTATAAGGGTGTTATGGTCATTTAGTATAATATTTTGTGTCTTGTGACGAGCACGCGTATCGCCGGATGGGATAAACTGCAACAAAAATGTATAGCTCAAAGATTTTTTTATTTTATTTTATTTTTTTATTTATTTATTTTTTTTTTACGGTTTAACTTTATGTTTATTGATTTTAGTTCATTTGAATGGATACTCTGAGATGGAGAATAGGAATTTTGAATTAGATTAATTCAATTTATACTTTCTAACAATTAGAAAAGTACAAAAAAGAAACCAATAATTTTAAATAACAAAGGCTGTTATGAATATAGTAATATATAGTAAAAAATAGACCTACATCTTATAAACAAAAAGATTAAAGAACACTATGGAACAAGTACCTTTATTGTTAAAAGGATTACAAGGCTAAATGAATAAATAATATTTCTTAGATGTATATTTTGTGAGATATATATTTTGGAGAGATTATGAAAAATGTATATTTTGTATATTGGCTAATTTCATTATCAAAATAAGTCCAATCGAGTTGTAAAATTTCGGTTCAGAATTTCAAGATGAAGATAGAATGCAGATTTGAAGAAGTTTAAGTGTTCATGGTTTACAATACTCTGGGATGATGAGAACACTGCTTTAGAAAGGTATGTGAGTGAGTGAGAACACTTGAGAAGTCTTAGAAGTTTGAAGTGTTTAGGAAATTTTCATTTTGTCCATTTGGTACTGGTAGCCAAATCTAGTACTGGTAGGAAATTTATATTCTATCCATTTGGTACTAGTAACCAAATAGCACTTTCACTTCTGTCCATTGGGAACAGGTAGCCACTTTGGGAACCGGTAGCCAAAGTACGTCGGAATAGGTTTTGTTTATCCTGATCCGGTAGCCAAATTCGACACCAATTCAAGAAGTCCTGATTAGTTTAGTAACTTAAGTTTCCTTATCCGTTTTGATTTCTTTTTGGACTAGACTTCCTTCTAAAATCTATGCATGAATTTACCTTATTTTTCAGGCATATCTAGGTTTTCAAAGGTTTATATAAACATGTTTTCTCAATTAGGATTTCACGGCTTTTGCATACAAAATTCAGATCTAATTGAGAGCCATCTTTGAGAGATATTTTTATTCAGAAAATCAATCTGATTTTTCTGATTTTATTTTTGAGAGCGCACATATAAACACAAGAGTGATTTATGAGTGTTATTCTCTATCTCATCGGAATTGGAGCATAATTGAAGATTCAGAAATTCCGAAAAGCAGAATTCATTCATTATTCATCAAATTCGGATCTTGAAGAAAAAGGGTGAAGCAATCATACTTTAAAGGGGTCAAAGCATTCGTGGAGTGTTGTTTGATTTACCTGTAACTCTTTTACAAAGATCAAGAGTAAGTCTGAGGTCGAGAGCTGTTAAATGGGGGAGTCACAAAGTCAGGATTGTCAGCAATTGGTTTTTGGTAGAACGATAAGATGTGAGCCTGAGTTAAAGTTCAGTGTACTTTGCTTCAAACATAATGGATCATTTTTTTCTAAACTGCACTGTCCAACGAGATTTTGCCCGCAACAATTGGTCTACTATACCAATTAGGGTTTCCTCGCTAAAAATCCTGGTGTCATCTCTCAAACCTTATTTACTTTACTTGTACTTTATTTTTGCTTTGTGGTTTGATTTTAGTTTTATTTCGATAAAATTAAAATAAATAAAAATTGGATAAAGGAGCAAGATATATCTATTCACCATCCTTCTAGGTTAATTATCCATATTATATTCCACAACCATTCCGCTACGTACAACTTAATATATTCCACTTAGCACAAACTTCTTGAATATATATAGTCCACCAAAAGAGCTTCTCTTGTAAGCTACACAATCCACTTGTCTAATACTTTCTCCTTACGCCAAAGCAATGCAACTTTCTCCTTACGCCAAAGAAAAGCACTATGACAATTAAATGATGTAAGACATAAGGACAAGTGTACATATCATATTGTAGAGTGTGGATCCCACATCCATAACACTCCCTCTTGGGGTCCACTATACTACACTAAGAATATGCCTCATTAAAACCTTACTAAGATAAACCCAATGGAATAAAAACTTAGCTAGGGAAAAAGTGTACAGTATTCTTATGTATCTGAAAATGTTATTGCATGGATGCAAACTACCTCATTAAAACTTTGCCAAGAAAACCCAGTGGGACAAAACCTGAGCGAAGGAAAAAGAGTGCAGTATGTCAATACCTATTCAATTTAGTGTTCCCCCCTCATTTGTATAGTCGATGCATGACTTTAAAGATTTTCGATCAACTACTCCCCCTCATAAATATGATTGTTGCATTTTGATAACTAGTGTCAAGCAAGGGATAATTCAGATTCAACTTCCCTTATCCATTAAATTGGTCATTCCCTTATCTCGTTCGATGCTCAATATCTAATTATGGTTTTATAGCATCTCTGAACTCAAGTTTCCACTCTCTCATTCAGAGTGATAAACTCAATACGTTGAGGCAGCAACAATACAAGATTGATTTACAGATAGCAGTATTTTCCAATTTTTCTGCTCATGTAAGTATGGTCTGTATTGTAGTAAACATTCATTGTCTGTATACGAAGAAGTCACTGAGGGAGCCGTAAACAACTGATTCTATAGAGCCAACTAAAGTATAAGCTCATTCAGTTTAGTTAACACTGGCATTGAGCAGCATATGCCTTCTTTAGATTCATCAGCTAGAGGTCAAGAATTTCAACCATCTATAAAAAAAGATTCTCATATTTGCAATGACAGCCAACACATTAGCAAAGAGTGCAAATGTAGTGAAACCTGTTATCTATAACAATGTCTAGAACAACATTTAGCATGAGATCTGCTGTAACTGTTTTGCTTTGTATGTCTAAGACAAAAAAATTTTATTTCTGAGATCTTTAATCTCAAATTATTTCTTTACATAAGTGGCCTTACTTTCGAGCTATTTATGATTCCGATTTATGAACAACTAATGCAATAATAGGAAAACCAGATTCTAATAAAAATGCAAGTATAAATTAGATTATTTACATATCTATTGTAATGACCCGAACCCGGGAGTCCAAATTATTAACCGGGTCCTTACCTGAACCCGAGGACTCTCAAGGGCAATACAGTTATTTCCTTATTGAAGGATCATTAAAATAATGTGCCGAGGTCCATAAGATTCAATAGGATCATAAATGGGTCAAAGAAGAAACAAAATCAAGTTTTCAAACAATCTGGCCCAACATGCAGGAATCGGTCGACGTGTGGGACATACATATCGACTAGTTCTGGTAATTCGGTTGACATGTGGAACAATACGTCGACTGTTTGGCTCCCCAATAATAAATTGCATACTAACCAAATAAATGAGATACCGGTCGACATGAAAAGTCTACACGTCGACCGGTTCTCACTAGGTTTGTGTTTTTTAACCCTTTTTAGTGACTTTGGCACTTGGCATCCATCTTGGCTCAAATGTGACATTGTAAATGATTTTAAACCGGCTCCAAAACTTCCATAAAGTGGGTAAAACATTAAATGCATGAAAACGTGAATCGTTTGATGAAAACACCCCCTTTTAAATTAGAAATTCAATTGTCAATCATATATCATTCTTTCTTGAAAATCATTTAATGATAACGGTTGGGGCAGCGGAAGTGCACAAAACACAAAGATCCAACAAAAACCAACAAAACAATCATCATACACAAACACAAGATATACATGGTTCAGCCAAAATCGGCCTACGTCGATGAATGAGAAGAGATTTCACTATGATTTGTAAATATATTACAATAATAGAGTACTAATACTATATACATGCCTTTTTACCATGTACCACTCCACGAGCTTAATCCCTCGTTATCAGTGTCACCGGTGTTTTTCTTACTTTATCAACCCCCATACTACCTTTACCCATCAACTCCCTCATGAGACTACATCTTTCTCAATCTCATAAGTCTCAACCCACAACATATGTACCTATTTATAAAGTTACAAACATAATTCATTATTGGACAATGATTACAATTCCTTAGAGGCCAAGACTTGCCAAACAAGAAATTGTAATACCCCTAATTTTTAAAAGGATAAAATGGGAATTTAATTTGGATTTTGATAGCATTTTCACTTATTTAAGTGCATATTTGTTTATATAATGGTAGATTTACTTGATTAGTTAATTGTTAAATTAATTGCCTTAGTTATATTATTTGAATTTATTTAAATTAATTGCCTTAATTAGATTATTTGAATTTATTTAAAATAATTTCTTTAGTAATATGTAACTGGTTGATTGTTTATAATTATTTAAATTGATTTAAATTATTGGATCTTAAGTTAGGGTTGTGGATTTTACGTATTGCCGACTTAGCATTTGTCAGTTCTTTTCTGGAGTGTATTAGGATTAGGGTTATAGATGTACTGAGTCTATAAATATGTTGTTACGTTAGTCTTAGGGTATTGAAAGAAATACAACCATAGTCTGTTCACATAAAAACAGACTGTTCACCTAAAACAGAGAGATACAGAGGGAAACGGAGAGTGATCTTGGGTGATTCACAAAGCAGAGTCAAGGAGGGGAGTTTGGTGTATGCTACTGGGTTGAACTAGGAGCAGCAGAGGTCGTGTAACACAACCGACATTGCCGGAGTTGATAGAGGCGACAGTTAGAGATTTTAATCTAAAATCTCAAAGGCAAGTCTCTATTCTTCTCTTTCCCTTAAACTTGTGATCTGTGCATGCTTAGATAGACTCCAGGAGTTTAAATAAATGCCTAAACAAATGTTTATGCATGCTTGACTGATAATTAGACTCGTTGAATGAAGCTGTTTCACAAAATTCTTAAAGTCTCTATTTGTTTGGTTCTTTTTGTTTATGCGTTTAAGCTTTGCTATTTGAGATTTAATGATGCATATGGATGGCTTGTAGTTAGTCTGGAATGTTAATTGGATATTAGAACAAGAATTTAATACAGTGCAGAAGGCTGGAACATCACCG